ACTCTCCTTTTTTAAAAAATGTTCTTTTTGGTGGTTGTTGAGAATTAAAATGATCTGGCTAGCCTAAATAATATTGAAATTGTGTGGTCACTATTGACTATGCTGACATTAAATCGATACAGACGATGGAATTTTGTAGGTAATTATGCTTATGTAGCTCTTTGGGTGTAATTTCGCCTACATGATGTATTTTTCTGCAAAATATGAAACCCTCTCTCGATTTAATTTCTCTTATCGTTTTCTTTCTCGCCCCTTTTTAAAGCTTGGGGTGGGGGTTGTTGAGAGTAGGATGGAGGCTGTTTTGGGTAATTTGGCTGTCCTGCTTTTTTTTTTTTTTTTTTTTTGTTCTGGTTGGCAGCCGATTAACTGTGCTGACAAATCAGGCGCAAAAAGCCAAGGGCTCTCAAGGTAACACTAATCCCTCTGGGCGGGGAGAGTCAAATATTACGCAGGATTTTAGAGAATGCTCCTTTCTTTAATTCGCTCGTTTTTTGCGTTCAGACGGTGCCAGTCACTTTCGTTTCTTGTATTTTTATTTATTTTTTAAACGTGTGACATTGCTGGGCCATAACTATGATCTATTCCTTATCTAAAGTATCTGCTGTGCCGTCTTTACAGACATCCATTTTAAATATATATTAAAACAGAAATGAAATAGAAATGGAAAGAAAAATGACTCTCCTTCTTTTTTTTTTTTTATTTCAGAATCATCCAGGCCTAACATGTACAGGCGTGTGAAATCTTAGGCCTGCCGTTTAATTTCTGCTAATGGACCAATTACAGTATTGGCAAGAAGCAAGATCATTTTTTTAAAAAGTCAGAAACCACAGGGAAAACAAAACCGACATAAGGGGAAAAAATAAACGCCACATTTAGAAAGACGGTAGGATGTTGCATAAACTGCTGGTGTCGGTGAGGGGAAAAGGCGAGGGATTTGTGGGTGTGTTCGCTGGTGGAGTGTGTATGTGGAGCTGATGGAGAGGTGTGTATCCAGGCTTTAGTTGTTGGCGTGCATGTGTAATATTTTTGAGTGTCTGCAGTCATTTGTGCATGTGTGAACATTCATCAGTGTGGCGTGTAGGATTATCATTTTATTCTGTGTCTTCTTACACTGGTAAGGTGTGTATGCAGCCCTCGGTGTGGTGTGTACGCACATGTCTGCATGGTGCAGGCGTGTGTCTGTGTGTGTGCGCGCGCGCGCAGTGTGTATGCAGGCGTTTGTGGGGTGGTGGGTGCTCTCTAGCTGGGTGATGTAATGCCGTGAAGGGTGCTGCAGCAGAACCACAGCGCCCAGAGAAGGCGTGTCCTGTCTGCAGAGTAGCTGGATAACAACACGGTGCCCACGCTGCACCCGCTGCCAAAATAACACCCCCCACCCCCCACCCCCCCCCACAAACACACCCTCCATCCTTCACTTCCGCTCGTCTTCCCATTTTACATTTATCTGCCTTTTATTAGTCTGTTTTTATTTCTGCCTTTTTTAAAAAGAAATGAGCAGTCTGAGCAGCAGAGGCGATATGGAAATTAAAAAAGAGGACTGATTTACAAATGGTGATTTTTTTTTTTTTTTTTTGTTGTTGAAAAACAGGATAATTCTGCTATTTTAATAATATTTACGGATTTATTTGAATCAGCTGATTTTTAATAATACTTTTAATCAGTTTCTTTAGTGTTCCTGTCCCTCTGCTGATGAATGTTGTCTTAAATTCTGGTGAGGTGGTGAAAAGGGGAGAGTGTGCATCCTTGCCCTGTCCCCCTGTGCAGTGTTTAAAATCAAAAAGCATGATTATTAATATTTTAAATGGCTTTAGTGACCAATCACTTTAAAAAGACAAAGCTGATAATCAACGACATATTTTAGTCAGCTTAGACTGCAACTGATATTAAAATGTTTTGCAAAATCCTTCTGCCTTTTTATCAGTGTTCTTTCTTTAAACAGTGTCTAAATAGAAGCATTTTTGCATCTCAGCAGATGTGGCTGAGGTATCTTGCCCTGACTAACCAAGCTATATGGAGTGCTTTTAAGGTTGGGCGATATGATGATGTATAGTCTGAGACAATATAAATGTGTACTGTCGGAGATTAACTGAGATATTTTAATATGGTAGGTATTTAAATCGCTGTAGTAGCCAAAGACATTCCTGTCTAGTTTCAATAGCTTTCTCAAAATTAGCTTTGGGTATTGAATTTTTTATCAATTCCAAATTTGCTCATTGATTCCATCTCAATCAATTCCCATTTTCTGGTCCATTGTTGTTGAAATAAAAAAGGCAGTAAAATGTTTAGATAACAAAAATCTTAATTCTTTTAAGTATTTACTTTGTATTGTTTCATTTAAACTAGCAAATCCAAACTGAACATTCACAGAGGAAATACATACACTGCAAACATATGATCCACAGTCAGTACATAGATGTCTTGTGGAAGCTGTGGTATTTGACACTCCTCAGTTTTCTCTTTGGTTTTTCTCTTTTCCTGTATTGCCAAAAAGAACTGTGTCACAGTTTGGTATCCTGGCTCTTGATGCAGGACGTAGATGGCCTAGCAGATGTAGCCTTTGTGATAATAAAGGGTCATTGCGTTTAGGAACTGATGAGCAGAACTGAAACTCCAATTTTATTATTTTTAACGGGTACCCGGTTCTTGGCATTTTGGTTTGGTTCTAATTTGGAACTGGTTTTCTGTTCCCAACCCTAATCAAAATAGATACAATCTATTGTTAAAGTGATGCACAGCGACACACAGTACACTCTGATAGAGAATGTTGTTCATATCACCCACCACAAGCCCAAAGACATCGGTATAAGCCTAAGATGGTGGGAAAACGTTGTACCCAGAAGGGTTTGTGGCTGACTTGAAGGGTGTGTTTGCATCCTGAAGAGAGAAGATGAAGAGTAGTGTTGGGGTGTTTCATGAGATGCATGAGTGGGAGTGGATGAGGTGGAACATCGCTCCTCTGTCTCTGCGCCCCCTCTCCCTGTTCTACTCATCTTTCCTTCTGCTGTCGCTCCCCCTCCCCTCCACTGTCAGGTTGCATGTCCTGGTCAAATGATTTTGGAGTGTACCACTGCCGCAACGAAGACGGGCAAAGAAAATGGCACCTCTGTGAATCTATTGTGAGATGTAAGCGGCAGTGTCTGTGCAATTTGGAAGGCCTTACAATGAGCCATACGAGCAAATCAGAAAAATTGCTGCCTGTCCTTTTAAGATATATCTGCAAGCTATGGAGGACATTTTGTCACTGTGTATGGACAGCGATACTGTGTGTTTTTGTGTGATTAGGGCACCTGCTGGAAAATTACATTAAGTGGCATCCATTTAAACACAAGGGACTGCCATGGGCTGCTTTATTTACATTTACACACACACACACACACCCCTACGTCCAGTCCGTGTGGTTGTTAATAGGATCCAGAGTGCCACTGCCTTTTGTCAGTATGTGTATGTGGATCGTCCCTGGGGGTTCGTCAAAGGAGCCTTCACAGAACAATGATCCATGCCGTTTAGCCTTTTAACCCCTGATGCTGCCCACACTGCAACAAAAGACAAACACACACATGTGTCGTGGCAAACTGAA